CAGGAGAGCCTGCCTTTGTCCTGTACCATCTACTGTAGCAGGTATTGCTAACTGGCACTCTCCTCTCCCTCCATTAAGGAGGGATTGTGCAAACTCTGTATACTGTACATATACCCTCTACACACAAGCCTGCAGTAGGCATACACTGTCCACTCTGCTTAATATAAAGTACAGCACAGTATAGTAACTGTAATCACTGTTTACATCTTAACTCTGCTTTAGCCTTTAACACTGTATTCTTGGCTGATTGTGTTCCAGTACAGTAATGCACAACACAAAATATACTAAAAAAAAGCATCAAAATATAAGAGCCTACAGCCTAAGTTACCCAAACAGTTAGCCCAGCCATGCGGCTTGGAATGTGGGGAAACATGCAGAAGGTTGGAGCTTGATGCAATCTCTCAGGACTCCCGGAAAATTTGTTCCCATGCCTAAAACGAAGAGGTTTAGAGAGATTTCCTCAGAAATTTTTCCGGAAAATGCACATGATTTCACCCTCGGAAACTCATTCCTATGCCCTGAACGCAGAAAGATTTTCCTGATGGCACAAAATCCTCTCTGGCTATTACAGAGTTCCGGGGACCGAGGATTCCAGCTGATCTCTCAAAAGCTACTGCATAACCTCAGATATCTGGCATTTAACCATCCGGAACTTTCAAGCAACTGTCATTTTTTTGGTAATTACCAATGTCTAATCACATTTATAAAATCATGAAAATCGGTTTGAATTTGGCACGGCTTAGCCTGTGGTTCCATTTCTGGCCACGAGAGGTGCTGTGTGCATTCTCCATTCACTTACTTGAATGTTTGTGTCATGTTTTGATGGAAGAATATATTTACTTTGTCCTTTTATTTCCTTTATAATATACAATCATGCGCCAGTTAACGTCCTAGATACGTTCTTGGAAACGTGACGTTAACCGAAATGGACGTTGTCCGATCATCACATAAACTTTTTATTTATACTTACGTGAATGTGGAATACTATACAGTGAGTTCTGCTATAACGCGTGTTTTGATAACGCGAATTTGCTCTAACGCGATTTATGAATTAGGAACGATATTTGTATAACGCGAACGCTTGTTTGCTATAACGCGATTTTTGCTTACTATTTCTCCAATTTTGTGGTACAGTGGGGTATGCTATAACGAATCTAATTGGTTCTAGAACCTTGCTCGTTATAGCATTCGTTCGTTATAGGATTAATCCGTTCCAGGCCCCCAAATACAACCACTTAACACTGAAAAATATAATATAAAATTGTAAAAATTGTAAAAGAGTGCATAAATATGCATCTAATCCCCTGAAATAAAGAATATCATTAATATTTGTAATACAAAAACAATAAATTAGAAAAAAAAAAAAAAATTAAATAATGTTCGTTGTTGGAGTTTCGTTCGTTATAGCATTCTCAATTTTATAGGTAAAACCGTTCGTTATAGGAATATTCGTAGTAGGATCCGTTCGTTATAGCATACCCCACTGTATTAACTGTGAATATAGTAAAGAAGAATATCAACAAGAAGCGTTCTGGTGATAGAATTCCCGGTGATGATCGTAAAAGAAAGGATATAACACTTGAAGAGAAGCTCGATTTTATCAACCTCAAAATCACCCTTCTCCCCCATCAAGTAAAGTGTTACATTTACTGTATGATTTCATTATTAGATATGAATGTAACATTTATTTAGACTGTGCTATCCTTTGTGTTAGGCTAACTACTAAATTTTTTCGATTTCGAGTAATCTGCACCTAACCCTATTTTCTCCATAAGCCCTGTTATTTCTATTACGCGATTTTCTATAACACGATATTTTACAAGAACACAATTATCGCGTTATAGCAGAACTACCTGTATACGTACATATACACTTTTACTCTTTAATCACAACAGGTGATTAATTTTTATCTCTTGTGCAAAATACATGATGTTTATATTAAAATTATTCACTGGTTTACAAGGATTCCAGCCACGCCAGCAGATGGGGGAGAGAGAGGGTGCGAGGGGGCGTGGGGGGAGGGGAGGTAGTACGTTTGACAGTTGGCACAGGCCCAGGTCTAACGCGTGTATATTTATCAGTTCTTAGGTGACTAAGCTTCTCTCTTATAAAAAGCCAGTGAAATGACCTGGGTGAATATAATTAACATAGCTGAGATTCTTGTAACATACTAATTAATTTGAATATAAACATGCTATAATTTGCACTAGACAAAACAATTTTAGTACCGTAATCAAATTAGTACATGTGCACTCCAGCTTTGCACTAAGAAATCTATGTAAATCTACCCAAAAATACAGTTGAAAAACTTTTTTATAAAATGTACTACAGTACTGTACACTAATGTACAACAATTTTTATCTCTTGAGCAAAATATATGACGTTTATATTCAAATTATTGGCTGTCTTGCAAGGATTCCAGCAATGCAAATTATAATCTCCTAACTTTAGTCTGAGATATTATATAAGATAAAAACTGTAAGCCTAAAAGCCTGGCTGGGGGGAGGGACTGATGGCTCCGCCACCCAGCGAGGGGTTGGGGGGGTTGAGGTGATAAGTTTGAGGTGAAGGTCTCTGTGTGTTTATTTAACAGTCCTACTAAGCTTCTTTCCTTTTAAAATGCCAGTGATATGACCTAGGAAAATATAATTAACATAGCTGGGATTCTTGTAAGATACTGATTTATTTGAATATAAACATGTTGTAATTCGCACTAGACATAACAATTTTAGTACCGTAATCAAATTAGTACATGTGCACTCCAGCTTTGCACTAATTTATTTTACGTTTCTTTTAGTATGGTGTGTGCATGTAAATGGATGAAAATAAATGAAGAAATTTATGTAAATCTACCCAAAAATACAGTTGAAAAACTTTTTATAAAATGTACTATAGTATTGTACACTAATGTACTACATTTTTTATATCTTGAGCAAAATATATGACTCTTATATTCAAATTAATCTCTGTCTTGCAAGGGTTTCAGCAATGCAAATTATATTATCCTAACTTTAATCTGAGATATTATATAAAATAAACATAAAAAAATCACCAATCTTTTATCTTGAACACGAGGGTGGTGGGAAGACGACGGGGGTGGAGGGGGCGGGAGGTGAGGTGACAGAATATCTGGCATTTGTTTGTTTATTTATTTGAGATAAGATTTGACAGTTGGCGCTGAAGGCCTGCCTGCGTGTTTATTTATCATTACTTAAGAGTGACTAAGCTCTTCTCATAATTTTCCACCCAAACGACCTGGGTGAATATAACTTACATTGGAAGGTTTCTTGTAAGATAGTAATTTATTTGAAAGTTTTTTTTTTCAATTTAAATTTTAATTGTTTATTCCTTGATAGAGGAAGCGGGATCGTAGTGCTGTCACTTGGTACCCCTGAACCATAACACCAGAAGCAACTGGCCAGTGTCACAAGTATATACAGTCATCCCTTGGTTATCGCGCCTAATTGGGACCCCGCCGATAACGAAAGTACAGAACCTATGAGATTTATTCTAATTGGTTCCAGGCACCCAAGACCCAACCCCAAGTTTCCCATTTACGACCATTTATACCCACTAAATATATATATAATGTTATGGTAAATATCATAAACACACATGGGCATGGCTAGGTTTATTACAAAGTGATGAAAAGGGTACGCTTAATACTGTAGTCCACAAAACATGTAGCTATGCTTTTTTTATTTGGTCCCCCGTCATACGAGTCCGTTTTCTCTCACATCAGGACGCCTGAGTCCTCCGTTTTCTCTATTAATCTTAGAGTGCACCAGAAACTTTACTATTTTTAGTAATGCCACAGATTTTGAAATTGCAACCCCAATTGCAACTTGCAATTGTTGAGGCAACTAGATATGTCTGATTACAGCAAATGTGTTATTGTCAATTTGTAGGTGAAAGATTTTATCCTTAATAGATGTAGGTTAACATTTCACCTGTAGGCAAATGCTTAGAAAAGCCTAAGTAAGGAAGCGTATTCCTTTAACACATAATATCTGACCAGTATGGGGAAGATCATCATGTCTCCGTCAGGGGGTCGTGGAGTGGTGGTCCATCAGGCGTCACGTGTTTTTTTTTTGGGGCACTGGCGTATATACGTCGGACCGGCGCATGACTGTATATTTATGTCCTTTTATTCCTCTTATAATATATATTACTATGTCCTTTTATAATATATTTACTGTACTATGACTATGTTCTTGAGTTTGAGATGCGTACTTTTAAAGAGTAACTCAAGCATCCAGAAAAATTTTTTTATCCAGTACAGTCTCTCCTCAACTTACGACGGGGTTCCGTCCCGATGACCAGGTCTTAAGTCGAATTGGTCATAAGTCGAAAAGGCGAAAATAATACATAGAAATTCTAAAATGGGAGCCTCTTTTTCTTCTCAACACCACGAGAACTCTCACTTTTATGCTTGCCAGCCACTTTAAAGGCAATTACAAACGAAAACCTTATCAGTACACAGCGCGATCACTAACGCCGGGACTTGAAAATACGTCATGTGAAAAATATTTTATACGACCATGGCCGTCGTATGTCCGGATTGTCGTAAATCGAGGAAAGACTGTACACTCAATTCCCCGCGCCTTTTCCTGACTATGATTATTTACATCTTTAATTTTCTTTCTCACAATGATTATAATATGAAGAACATCATTATGTTGTGTGCTATACAGTAGTTCCTGACTGTCATACTAATATTTGTGCAGATACAGATTGGGAGGTAATAAGAAAATGCTTCAACACTGTATTGATTCTCCTAACTAACCAGAAAGAGCATAATGAAAATTTTGGTGACCACCAAAATAAGCTTCAATTATTTCCTAATTACAATCTCTTACTATATATATATTTTTTTTAATCAATACTGGTTCAATACAACTTGACCTATTCAACAATAACAAAACTGATCATTCCATGGTAAAAGTGATGTGTGATCTAGTAAGTATTATCCATTATCCATGAATAGAGTATTCACCAACCTCCTCAGCAATATTTATACAGTCAGCAGCCATGTTCCCATTCTGATCCTGTGAAGTTCTGGCCTCTGTTGCTGTCTTTTCCAGCGTTGGGGATTCTTGTACTTCACTGATGTCTGTAACGGACAAAGACAAATTAAAAAGAGAAGAATGAAAATGAAAGCAAAACTGAGCAAATTTTTTCTTGCACACCCAAAAACAAACTGTCTCTTTATTCACCATCAAATCTTATCTCTAGCCACTGTAAAAAATATAAATTTTGCAAGGACTTGATTAAATCACCTGTGGAATCAGGATCTATGCAGGATATCTTGACATGAGACCTGACGTGAGCATCAAATTTGGCAATAGTGTTGAAGAGTGCCTTGGCCCAGCCAATGTGTAGCACTGGGGTGGCTGAACCTTCCTCCCACTCACAGATCCCATCATAAAACTCCAACAGGTATCCAAAACACTCTGGGTCCTTCAGTATGGATCTGGCCGAGATCCCCGAGCTAACCACTCGCATGATGTGAGGAATTAGCTCATTGGCAATCTCTAAAAACTCTTTGTAGATTTCTTCATCATCTCTTGAGTAATTATAACTGTAATAAAGAACAGAAACATTGTTGATTGAGGGGCCAAGATTGGGTACTTTCATTTTCTTAGCCTACTATAAGGATAAATTGTTTGTCACATTTACAGGTAGCATTTAAGAACTTTGACTAAAATGATATGGGGGGAGATATTCAGCTCACACAAGAATTGTTAAACCAATTGTGTTACATTTTCTTAATAAAAAAATCAATAATTAAAAATGTTACCTAGAGGCAAGAAGAAAGACTTTAGTCCCATGTTCTTGTAAGATAAAGTAAGTCAGCTATAAAAACCTGTCATCGGCATCAACCCAAGATCATTCAAGCTGAAAGTGATTATCAGAGATGCTACAGTCAGTGTTCCCCTATTGTATAATGCAAATACACTTTGACTTACTTTCTTATGACTGAGGCAGCTCGGGCCCAATACTTGAGTGCTTGTTTGTATAATTTGTTCCTATAGCAGTACCCCCCTAAGTAGGTGTACGGGTACACATGCTGATTTTCGTAGTAGCGGACTGCACTGGTTATGGCTTCTTCATACATCTTTGTGGCTGGACATCGACCCTTTGTTGGCATCATCTCCTCCAGGTCCCCCAAGTTGTCTTGGAAAAGAAAGTAACAGGTTGAAGTTTACAGTTGCAATCAAGAGTTAAAAATAATCTAAAAAATATACTTACCAAAGTCTCCTTAAGCTATTATTCACTCCACATAGTTTCTACTGACTATATGAATTGAACTGTAGCGGTAAAGGGACTCGCCAACACACAACAGTATTTGTTTCATTAAAGCACTAATTCCATTTTATAGTGTTAATTCTGGAAGCTGACTTACAGGGAACAAAAGTAGGCTGACGATTTTTATTTTATTTATTTATTTTTTTACCGGGATTAGCCCACCCAGGCACAGGTTCACTGACCCACATCGGGGCCTGGGGGGTGAAAATGTAAGCCCCCCCTGTGTGCCCTCATGCTCACGGCCTATGCCACCTGGCACCACTGCTGGCGTCCACACCGAGCCTGCCCCCGTCCACCCACCGCGCGCTCATGGACCCGAGGACACCACCCCCAGCCCCCTGTCCCCCACCGGCGTCCCGAAACCTGAGGCCCATCCACTCCAGTTCTTCACATCAATTGACCACCCTGCGGACATGCTATTGGACTATGTATCTACGCCAAGAACGACGTCCCCTACCAACCTCTCGACGTCCCCCTTGAAGTTGACACTACCGACGTACACGCCATCACAATCACACTAAAAGGTATGTCCCTCAATATTGTCAATGCCTATGGCCTGGCACTTGACATTATTAGGGACCTGACACGCTTTGCCATAAACAGATAAATTGTGCCGGGAAATTTCCCCCCCACACACTCATCATTCTGTCACTTTATGTAACTTGCTGACAAAACCCATGACCCTTCAGGCTTTTACGCCCTTAATGCATGAGTCATAAAGGCAAGAATGAACTCTGCATGCTACCCAGATGGGCACTGTAAACGCTTGTGCGCTTCACCTTGCACAGGATGTAAGGGGGTGCCCAATAAACTAGCCCCTTCTGGGGCAATCTAAAAAAATAAAAATAAAAATAATAATAATAAAGTAATTCATAGTAAATAAAATATATAATAAAAATAAAATAAAATAAAATAAAAATGATAACAATAATTATAATAACAGCACTGTAATAATAATAATAAAGAAATACAAAAAATTTAAAAAGGATTCAACAGTGAGAAATGCTATATGTATGTTGTTTTATCAAGTAAGAGAAACAATCGAGACCCTGCAATTGTGTGTAAATGAGGCAGAAAGACAGATCAGCAACCTGGGACTTGGTCACAATATTTGTGATGCCATATAGCAGCAGGGTCTACCATTAGACAACACATTATGCTTCCAATACAGTATCTTCCCAGGCGGTAGTACCTCCCTGTTTGATAGCTGCCTACTACGTACAATAAATAATTTTTACTAACAATCCTGTACTGATAATCAAATGAACATGGATATATAGTGTGATGGGAATTTATAATTCTGCCGGCCTTGATTGGGGTGAATGGGTGATAGAACTGTCAGAAGACATTCCATCACTGGAATCTAATGTTGGTCCACCAAGACATAGTGAAAGCCACTGGAGCACTGATATTGGTGATGATCATCAAGATATTAAGTGAGTAACTTTCTTTAGTACTGTGTATAACCATGGAAGAACCACCCAGGTACTGCCTCAGCAAGACTAAACACAAGCAGAAGTAGAAACATATGAAGAAACACAACAAAAATACCAGAAGGTAAGACTTCAGTTTACTTTGCTGTAAATGATAGTTTAAAAAATTTCCATAGTTTCTTGTAAGTATAAAATTATTACTGTACAGTACTGTACTATGTTGCATGTATTATCAGGCACCTATGGGGATTGAGAGGTACTGGATAGAGATTTTCAGAATGGTTGAATCTCACTCTTAGGATCCCCAATAAATCCTACAATGCACAGTACAGTACGACAGGTTGACTTGCAAATTCGTGTCTCAGGAAAACAGACTTCTTTAGCACATATTGCACTCTATATAAATGATGTGGCTTAGAAATAAAGAAAATATAATATAAAACTAAAAAATAAGAAAAATGAAGAGCATGTGTATGCATGTGAGGAGAATGAATGTGTGTGGAGGCGATGGGTTATAACCAGGGGCAGATCCAGGAATATCAAAAGGGAGAGTCCAAGAAGTTGTGGGCATTTTGAAGCCATGTGCACTTGATTTTAGGAGATATTTTGAGGTCAATAGTAATTAATTTCTACTATACAAAATTGCCTGAGTACAATACTGCATTAAAGAAAGAGTGTTGGAATTTTCTGATTAAAAGGGGGAGGGGGTCAGAGCCCCAGGACACCCCCCCGGATCCACCCTTGATAACTGTGTCGCCGACTTGATAGCCCAGTCGCCTTGTATATTATTACTTGTAAAGAAACTATAAAAGTTGTTGAAAAAGCATTACAATACTCAAATGTGGCTTAGGAATAAAGAAAATATAATATTAAACTATAAAATAATAAAAATGAAGAGCTTGGGTGTGTATACGTGGGAAGTGAACATGTGAGGAGGCGATGGGCTACTGGGCTATAACTGTGGGGTTGTGTTCCTTCCAGATGTGACATCATAGCATAGACAGTCACACACCTGTGAGTCAGCTGGGTGACTGTCTGAACTTTGTCATGTTGCCCAGAGGATGGTTTGAGTGTGGAAGGAGCTATTTTTTTGTACATAAAATATGTGCTATTGTATTTTATGATATGTTACGTATCAATTTTATTGTTTATCATAGCAATAAATATGGCAGTTCATTCCCATTGCTTGTGGTATTTAAACTTACACTTCTAGCTGTAATTTGAGGAATTTTGATTTTCATTATTGTTACTGTATTTCATTTTGGTGCTGGTTAGTTGAATCTTCCTGTTACCCGGACTGATAACTGGGGTTTTACTGTACTGTATTATGTTTATTATTGGCTAATAATCATTGTTTACACCAAACATTTTCATTCAAACATGCTTTGTAACATTTCATAGCATTTTGGGGTAAATTATTTTTCTTAGGGACATATCTCAGCTTTCATAACGGAAGTGTATGGAAAAGGTGCTTCGTTTACAAATTTTGACTTGCAAAAGATTTTTTTGTAAATCAGGGTTTACCTGTATTCATTTTATGCATGACTTGTGAAGAACTCATCCCTCTTGTATAGTAACAACTGCTTGTACAGGTACAACTGGACGATATTAGATTGTGCTAACCTAAGATGCATGATGTTTGGGAGGCACTTGTCCTATGAAAGGCATCCAGTCATATCTTATTTGAGACTGATTCACTAAGATGACACACTTGGACTGTAGCAATTAACACATTTGGCTGGGATCAAATGAGTTCTCTTTCTTTCTGTTCAACAGATATATGTTGCATACAATATAGTGTATTCTGCATTGCCAATACAGTTGCCCTTAACATACGCGGGCTTAGCATACACGGATTTGCAACACGCCAGACAGCCCCGCCGGAGGAATATTCTGTACATTGAAGTAATTGAAGTACATTCAAATCACACGCCATTTCAATCAAGGCACCCCACTGCCCGCTCCCAAGAACCTCACACACACACGCATAGCTCTCCCTCACTCAGTCAGTCTCGCTGTAACCACGCTTGTGTTGACATCAGCATTGTATTAGTTGTACCCCACTTAACGTGGTCAATTGAACCCAGAGGTCCTGCTAAGTGAAATCCTGCTAAGTGAACAACAGAACATATGGGATTAATTCCAATAGAAACCGCCCGACCCCCAAACTCCACTTTTGAAGGCACATACCTATGTTGTAGTAAAAATAACATCTTAATTTTATGATGGTACATGCACAATTAATACTTAAGAGAAATAGAGAAATACAGTCGCTAAGTTAATGTCCATTCAAATAATGGACTCAACTCCTCCCCTCTCACACCTACACTGCCGGGCTCTTCCTCTCAGAGAAATTTTGGGGATAACCACTAAATTTTAATAAATAATACCTCAAACTAAAGTTAGGATAATATAATTGACATTGCTGGATTCCTTGTAAGACCAGGAATATTTTGAATATAAATGTCATATATTTTGCACAAAAGATAACATAGTTACCTAGAGAAAAATTTTTATCTAAAAATTTGTATGTCTAATGCAAAATATATGATGTTTATATTCAAAATGATCACCAAATTATAAGAATTCCAGCAATGTAAATTATATTCTGACCGGGTAATTTGTATGAATTTTATGAGCTAAAACAAATATCTTCAGTTAATAAAAAAAAAAATAATCTTCACGACACTATCTGTCAATCAAAGTACCCCACCTTGCCTCCCCCCCTCTTCCAACCGCGCGGTCAGTCCCAACCCTCCCCCCCACCCCCCACCAATCCTCCCTTCCAGGGTTTTTAACATTTAGTATTAAATAATACCTCAGATTAAAGTTAGGATAATATAATTGACATTGCTGGATTCCTTGTAAGACCAGGAATATTTTGAATATAAATGTCATATATTTTGCACAAAAGATAACATAGTTACCTAGAGAAAAATTTTATCTAAAAATTGTATGTTTAATGCAAAATATATGATGTTTATATTCAAAATGATCACCAAATTATAAGAATTCCAGCAATGTAAATTATATTCAGACCGGGTAATTTGTATGAATTTTATGAGCTAAAACAAATATCTTCAGTTAATAAAAAAATAATAATTCTTCACGGGGTAACAGATGGTCGGTCGGTCCCTCCCTCCCCCCCACCCCCCACCAACCGTCCCAAGGAGATGTGTGGGATAACCACTAAATTTTAATAAATAATACCTCAAACTAAAGTTAGGATAATATAATTGACATTGCTGGATTCCTTGTAAGACCAGGAATATTTTGAATATAAATGTCATATATTTTGCACAAAAGATAACATAGTTACTCTGAGAAAATTTTTTATCTAAAATTTGTATGTCTAATGCAAAATATATGATGTTTATATTCAAAATGATCACCAAATTATAAGAATTCCAGCAATGTAAATTATATTCTGGCCGGGTAATTTGTATGAATTTTATGAGCTAAAACAGGCAGTCAGGCAGGGTGGCGGGTGGGGCAAATCTAAAAATAGCGCTCGAGCCGGACACTCACCGCGTATATGTGGAAAAAAATCCGTGTTAAGTGAAAGTTCAGTTTGGCGAGGCAATCACAGATATGATAAAACGCTATGAAACCGCGTAGGCGGGGTAATACTGTAGTTGCAAAAATATTACATTTCCGTGAATGTATTATATCAAGCACAGTATGAATAGAATATCACTAATATAAGAGTATTTTAACCGAAAACTACTAAAAAAACGAGTAACATATCTTGAACATCGGAAGGCTAGGTAAAGTCTTTTGTTTTCATGTAGTTTATCCTAATTTACATTGAAATGCATTACGTTTCAGCAAAACTACTATTTATTTCTGAGAATATGGAAATGTAATACTTTGCTGAAATGACGTACGTATTACCGTGGAAAGTGACGAAAGCAATGACTCGCTTTCTTTCGTTCAAAAGATGTTACCGTAATCGCTTGTCGAATGGTTTTCAGTTTAAAAACTGTTGTATTACAAAAATATTCTATCCTAATTCACTTGTGATGCAACAGTTTTTTTAACTGGAAACCATTCAAAAAGCGATTACGGTAACATCTTTTGAACGAAAGAAAGCGAAAGTCATTGTTTTCGTCACGATTTTATCCCACTTTCCACTGTAATACGTACGTCATTTCAGCAAAAATATTACATTTCCGTGAATGTATTATATCAAGCACAGTATGAATAGAATATCATTGTAATATAACAGTATTTTAACCGAAAACTATTAAAAAAACGAGTAACATCTCTTGAACATTGGAAGGTTAGGTAAAGTCTTTTGTTTTCGTCATGTATTTTATCCTATTTTACATTGAAATACATCACGTTTCAGCAAAACTACTATTTATTTCTGAGAATATATCCATTCAGGCACAGTTTAGGTAAAATATACAGTACATGTGCTGTAAAAAAAATTTAATTGAAAACGATTCGAAAACACGTACCCTCTAGCCCTGTTCAAGGAGAAGACTGGGAGGAGCTGTTTGGTGCTTAAGACGATGACAAGGAAAATGATTTTGATGGATTTTAATGAAATTATTCAGAAAGACCCTGGCACTGTCAAGGAAAGTGGCTGCTGAAGGCTTCCAGGACATGGCAGAGGACGAGATTAGGGAGCTAATTGAAGAGCACGACACTGAGCTGACCGAGGAGGATCTACAGGAGTTAGTAGACTCAGGCAAGGAAGAGGAAGTGAAAGTGGATGAGGATGAGGAAGAGGAAGAGGACCAAGAAATAACATTGGAGAAGTTGGGGGAAATGACCAGGAATATTGAGGCACTGAAAAACCTGGCCTATAGTATGGACCCCTCCATGGTGCGTGCCCTGAAATTCATGCGAGGGATGGATGACGTTTTCGCTCCATACAAAACATCATGGAAGAAATGAATGAAAGGAACGACAACTCCCCATCACCATGTTCTTTGATCACCGAAGGAGAGATTTAACACCATCAATCACTTGCAGCAGTGAGGAAGCAGCTGAATCCACCGTCGCCCCCACCTCACCACCCGTTATGGAATTCAGTGACGATGAGCCCGATGACCCCCGTCCTGTCGCCGAGGATAGGTACTGTACAGTAAAGTGAAATTTTTTTCTCTTTTTTTTTTAATAGCTTTTCTTGCCATGTTTATTGTTTGTAAAAATGCACAGCACAGTACAGTTCAGTACTGTACATAGGAAGTGGAGGTGCAGTTATTCACAAGACATTTGTGTTTGTTGTCGGCAGTAGTGACGGTGAGGAGGTGGAGGAGGGAGCGGAGGGAGCGAGTTGGGAGGAGTGGTGACCTTGGATGCGGGAGCAGGGACGAGTGGAGATGCCAGCTAGTACATTACGGGTGTATTAATTGTTTTTATAGCTATTTTTGCATTTTAATATTAAATACTGTACATTACATTTCAACAAAACTACCATTTATTTCTGAGAACATGGAAATGCAATATTTTTACTGAAATGATGTACGTATTACAGTGGAAAGTGGGATAAAATTGTGACGAAAGCAATGAATCTCTTTCTTTCGTTCAAAAGATGTTGCCGTAATCGCTTTTCGAATGGTTTTCAGTTGTGGGATTATAAGGCTAATGATAGGATAGAATATTATTGTAATACAGTACGAGTACAACAGTTTTTAACTGAAAACCATTCGAAAAGCGATTACGGTAAAATCTTTTGAATAACGAAAGACAACAAAAGTCATTGTTTTCGTCATGATTTTATCCCACTTTCCACTGTAATATGTACATTAATCCAGCAAAAATATTATATTTCCATATTGATATCTGAGAATAAGTATATTCACTCAGTCACAGTTAAGGTAAAATATACTTGTGATGTAATATTTTAATGAAAATACGGTATCGTAGTTTTCTTTTGCTTCAAATTTAATTAACAAAGATTGATGTTTCAAATGTAATGAACAAAAATTTATGTACAGTATCTATAAATACACTTTAATAAATGATTACTTTGTTTTACATCGTCCTGTGCTACCATACCATGGATTTGGCTACTTTGGGCTTGCTACGATGACGCAAGAGATCTGCCCTGGCAACTGTACCGACACTCACAGCTGGTGGTGCGTTGGTGCATCGTTTCCATTGTTTACTGGTAGTTACTGGTAAATATTTTTCAACCTAACGAAACTATTACCCTTTTAGAGGTCGACCCCCAATTTTTTGCCAAATAATTTGGTCTTAAAAACTCGAACTACACACAGGTATATACGGTAAATAAGGACATGGGGGGGCCAGGGTTTTTTTTGGGGGGGCAGCACATATACGCGGATTTTTAACATCCACGGGTATCTCTGTTACGTAACCCCCGCGTATGTTAAGGGCCGACTGTAGTTAACAAAATTGTGAACAGTGGCACGATGGCCAAAAACTGGATAACTGATGTGGTTGTTTAAAATGTGAAAAATCAGGTGTGTACCGAACTTGTTTTGTACTTAAATGTAGTCATGTACTGCATATAGATGAACTACCCAATCATGAACACTATATTGTGATACAGAACTCTCAGACACAACCTTGGGTATTTTGCCATTATACAAGCAGGCCCAGACAAGTGGCTTCCCAGTTTTAGCTGATTACATCATAGTCAGAGGACCTACCAATAGCCATGGGGTACTTGGCAAGATGACCAGCATCATAAAGCATCCAGAGGAGAGCCTGTTGTAGGAGCATTACTTCCTCAGAGTCGGTTGTGGCGTTGATACCAGGGTTCATGTTAGAGACTATTGTTGCAACCTGAAACAGTCACATTATTCTGTTAATACATTTTAGAGACTACTGTTGCTACTTGTTACTCTCAACTGAGTCTGTTAATACATTTTAGAGACTACTGTTGCTACTTGTTACTCTCAACTGAGTCTGTTAATACATTTTAGAGACTACTGTTGCTACTTGTTACTCTCAACTGAGTCTGTTAATACATCTTAGAGACTACTGTTGCTACTTGTTACTCTCAACTGAGTCTGTTAATACATTTTATAGACTACTGTTGCTACTTGTTACTCTCAACTGAGTCTGTTAATACATTTTAGAGACTACTGTTCCTTCCTGTTACTGTCAGTTGAATCTGTTAATACTACAAGTTGGAGATTATGGTTACCTGTAGCTGTAATGTAAGAGTTTATTACAAGTTGGGGAGTACAGGTGTTTCTGATACCTGAAACAATTAGGTCTGATGTCACTTTACAGTTAGTTGTCAGTAGGTTTGTTAATAAGTTTTGAAGAGACTACTGTCACAACCTGGAAGTCAAATACAGCATATCTGTTAATACAAGTTGAAAGTCAACTGTTGTAACCTTCAACTACTACATGTACATCCATTACTACATGTTATATGAACTTGATCCCTCAATTCATGCAATAACTATTATAAGAAGATCAATCAAAGATTATGAAGCTTGCCTCCACTGCCACTACTGCTCCAACTGCATTATTGTTAAAGGGTGACACTCTGCCTTCAGCTTGAGTGCCAAGGCCCCACATCAGGCTTACACATTTCACTTAGCAAGATGACATCATAAACAAGGGGGGGGGGGTACCTCTAAGGACATGTACAAGCTCTTCTTCTACTTATCCTTCCCATACACAGCTGCACCACTGAAATTATAAAGTAATAAATGTAATAAGTGAACAAAAAAATACACACTCACCTCCATGTGTCTGTTGCATATGACAGGCTGCCCATTGACATACAGCCAGGATTTGCTATAAACATCATGGGTTACTGGTATACCTCTTTTGTCTTCATTCCCTTTACCTGAAACAATCACAGTTTACTCAATAACACTGAAACAAAAGCAGTACTCACACTTACCAACTAAATGGCCATTTGTTATCATCATATAATGGTCGCCCCTCATGTTTAAGGCTGGCCAGCCCTAGGGCCACCTAGGCGTGAATTTGATTAAGGTGTAGAAGATGTCATCAACACAATAACCACACCCTATATTAACAAGTTTTATGACCGTATCAAGGAATAATCCAAAAAGACTGGACAGCTTGCCAACTGCACTGGTAATAATTACCCCAGAACACGATCTATAAATCGATTAACATCCAAGCTCCGAATTACTGCTGGGCAGAGAGAGCAAAATGGCGTAAAAAACTTGCCCATAGTTTCATCCTGCCCAAGGATCAAAGCCAGGTCCATTCACTAACAAGGCGAGTATGCTGACTATTACACCACAGGTCACCATTATCTTCATGCTGTATAAGCTATGGAGGGAAGATCTACTAGGTTTTAACATACTTCGGGTAGGTCTATCACAGGTCTTGGACCAATACAAGAGGATCCAATTCCACCCAGAAAGAGCATCCCCACATTAAGATTCACATCTTAGGTTCATTCCAGGGAGTCATTCTATCCCATTGTTCAGAGTTTGGCCAAGCTTCCCACACTGTGACTGCTTGCAATCCATAAGCAAACATATTCCTTTTAGCCTATTAATCTGAACTACAGACAAATACCAATTTACATTACATAGTCAATGAGTCACAGAGTGGACACAAGGGGAGAAATGAGGTAAAAAGAAAAGATTAATAAAGGTCATTCATTATAGGTGAAGATTAATACTGTACAGATTATCTAAATACGAAGTGTGGTAGCAGGCATAAGGGATCTCAAAGGTTTGGCAAGAGGAGGGGACATGAAAGAGTTGCATGGATAAAGGGAAGCTGTACTGATGCACCATGTCACAAGCATACCAGAGGGATTTGCACTAATTACCCTGCTGGAGGAGATAGGGAGAGATGCGGGGCTGAGAGGCAGAGGAAGATATGGAGATCATAAAGGCAAATGGGAGATGAGGGGCTTGAAGAAGTAAGGAGGGGATGTAGAGCTAAGAGGGGCAGGGGGAGTGAGGTAAGGCTTAGATAAGCAGGGGAGATGTGAGTCTTGGCAGGGCAGGAGGGGTTGTGGGGGCTGAGAAGAGCAGGAAATATAAGGGGATGGCAAGGGCAGAAGGAGATGAGGGCTGATAGGAACATGAAGGGCTGATGTGAGACTGAAAGGGGCAGGGGATATGGGGCTAGGAGAAAAATGAGAGCTGTGGGAGGGGCAAGGAGATGGGGGTGGGGGGAAGAAGCATATATGGGGGCTGGGAGGCAGGAGGGACTTGGGGCTGGGAGGGGCAAGAGGAGAAGGTGGCTGGGAAAGGAAGGGGGCTTGAGAGGCATGGGGATATGGGAGCTGAGAGAAGCAAGGGGGAAATGGTGAGGGCTGAGAGTCAAGGGGAGGCATCAAGAGGTTCTCAGCAGAATGGGATGTAAAGGTAAAAGAAAGATAAGAAGTAGCAGATATGGTCAGAGGAGCTAGGAGAGATGGAGGAAGAGTAGGAGAGATAAAGAGGGGACAGGAGGGAGAGAGAGGGGGGGTGAGCAGTATCAAGGTCAAGGTTAATCAATAAGTTAGACTGGCTGAACCGGCGGCAGCAGCAGTCGGGTCATCACGGCCACTACTGCCACACAAAGAACAAAACACACACACACACACACACACACACACCGTACTAACTCGCTACGCACCACTACATACACCTTCCATAATCACACCATATTAACACCCTTAAATCTGTGCCCCCACCATATAACATCTGGCTGGTATTAAGAGCAAACACAACCAATGAGATGAGAAAGACGGCAGTGACACGCAAACAAAAGGGACGAGAGAGAGCAAGTTGGGCCCGGCCAGAAGAAGGTTGGTGTGGAGTGGATCAATAAATGTAGGCCTGTACACTGTCACCCCGCCAGCCAACCAGCCGGCCAGTCAGCCAACCAGCACATGGGACCCTGTGTAGACAGGTGTCAATTCCACTAGCTTTGTTTACCTCCTCTACAGACATAAAATGTTCCATCTACTGAATATTATGGTCAACATACATCTGTTTACTGACTTTAAGGGTGACCTACTGACACAGTGGGTCCCTCCCCTGACCTATATAGCCTAATTCTATACAGTACCTACACTGTACTGTCCCACAATGTGCCTCTAATGACCTGTAAAGTCTCCTAACTGACCTACAGGGCCCCTCTACTGACTTACAGGGCCCCTCCACTGACCTACAGGACCCCTCCACTGACCTACAGGGCCTCTCCACTGACCTAAAGGGTCCACTACTGACATAGAGGGCCCCTCTTCTGACTTACAGGGCCCCTCCACTGACCTACAGGGCCCCTCCACTGACCTACAGAGCCCCTCTACTGACCTACAGGGCCCCTCCACTGACCTACAGGGCCCCTCTACTGACCTACAGGACCCCTGACCCCTCAGGGCCCTCTACTGACCCTCAGGGTCCCTCTACTGACCCACAGGGCCCCTATACTGACCTACAGGGCCCCTATATTGACCTACATGGCCCCTATACTGACTACAGGGCCCCTATACTGACCCACAGGGCCTCTATACTGACCCACAGGGCCCCTCTACTGACCCACAGGGCCTCTATACTGACTTACGGGGCTCCTATACTGACCTACAGGGCCCCTACAGTAACCTACAGGGCCCCTAGTGTGACCTACAGGGCCCCTACAGTAACCTACAGGGCCCCTATACTGACCTACAGGGCCCCTCTACTGACCTACAGGGGCCCCTCTACTGGACCCACAGGGCCCCATATCGACCCACAGGGGCCCCCACAGGACCCCCACTGGACCTACAGGCCCCTACAGTAACCCAGGGCCCCCCACTGACCCACAGCAGGGCCCCCATACCGACCCACAGGACCCCCCACTGACCCACAGGGCCCCTCTACTGACCCACAGGACCCTCTACTGGACCCACAGGCCCCTACATTGACTCAAAGGCCCCCACTGACCCACAGGGCCCCCTCAGCTGGACCCACAGGGCCCCTCTGCTGACCTGTTAGGACCCCTCTACTGACCCACAGGACTCCCCACTGACCCATAGCCCCTCTACTGACCTGTGAGTTGCGGGCCCCCTCTACTGACCCACAGGGCCCCTCTACTGACCCACAGGACCCCCCCCACTGACCCACAGGACCCCCCACGACCCAGGCCCCCCACGACCCACAGGGCCCCATTGACCCACAGGGCCCTCTACTTGACCCACAGGCCCTCTACTGACCCACAGGACCCCTCTACTGACCCACAGGGCCCCTGAGGCTTGACCCCACAGGGCCCCCCACTGACCCACAGGGCCCCCTCTACTGACCTACAGGGCCCCCACTGACCTGGTTGCGCCCCCTCTGTTGACTCCACAGGGCCCTCCTGCTGACCCACAGGCCCTCTACTGACCCACAGGGCCCCTCTACTGACCCACAGGCCCCCATTGACCCAAGAAATTCTCTGCCACAGGCCCCACTGACCCACTCTGCTGACCTACAGGACCCCTCTACTGACCTACAGGGCCCCTCTGCTGACCTACAGGGCCCCTCTACTGACCTACAGGGCCCCTCTACTGACCTACAGGGCCCCTCTACTGACCTACAGGGCCCCTCTACTGACCTACAGGGCCCCTCTACTGACCTACAGGGCCCCTCTACTGATCTAACTATTTCTCACTTCCTAGGCCACACAGTTACATCACCAAGAAGCTACCAATGTGTCTTAATTAATACAGGTAAAAATAAATTAATCAACAGTACAGTACTCTGGTGCCTCCAATACAAGTGTCTCACCTTCCAGTACTGTTGTCTAGATCATGGCTCCAACAAATGCTACAATCTCATGTTTCCTATACAGAATCCCCGTTAGATGTGAAACTTCCATCTAATGAACTATACAGAGATGAAAGTCCATTATATCGAGGGTCCATTAGATGTGAAACTTCCATCTAATGAACTATACAGAGATGAAAGTCCATTATATCGAGGGTCCATTAGATGTGAAACTTCCATCTAATGAACTATACAGAGATGAAAGTCCATTATATCGAGGGTTCATTAGATGTGAAACTTTCATCTAATGAACTATACAGAGATGAAAGTCCATTATATCAAGGGTCCATTAGATGTGAAATCTCCCATCTATCGGATGTCATGGAAAGAGAAGTCCATTATATGGAGGTTTCAGTTATTGTTGTACCATAAAATATTTGTCACCTCAATATATGGAACAACTTGAAGGAAAAAAAAAAGTACCAATGAAGTAATAATGATAGTTACCATGCCAAGTGACTTCAACTGTGTGTTGACCTTTGTCTCCAAACACCACCCACGTATGATCTTCTGAGAGTGCCAAGTGAACATCGTAGTAACCAAGTGCCTGACACGCTGCTACTACTGCTAACGTTGTTCCAGAGCTGTCTAATTTGGCACCTGCAAGCGTGAAAAGATAAAGTTAGTCCTCACATACAAGAAAGACATGTAAACATATTACGGGGCATTACAGTATCTCATATGATGTTACACTATGACTCTTACAGTAGTGGTGGAACTAACAAGTCTGGTACAGTACCTGTAAGCATGTAAGGAACAGGATGATAATTATGTAAAGGAGCATCACCAGTGCATCATTTCATGCCAGAATAAAATGTGATCCCTGTTACTTTCTACAACTAAACATAGCAACATGGTGATAAAACATAAAGTATTATCTAATGGTGGTCATTTGGGATTTAGCTGGACAGTACAGTACAGTAATTACATTAGGTGATACTGTAGTATTGTAGTTCATGCTTAATTCAGGTTACAAAAACTTAATAAAATAAACAAAGACAATAAATATGACAAAGTTGTTCTTTAACATCCACAATCTTTCAGTCATAACACTTGTATTGCTGAACAAGGCCAATTGATGCACTTCAATTAACTATACATGAAATGCTTTATCACCTTAAACAGTACAGTACAGGGGGTCCCAGACTTACGAATGTCCAACTTGCAAATGCCCGCCGTTACGAAATTTATGTATTTCATTGACTCGATGACTTATTTTCTACTTTCATTTTCTGTATTTTGTCATTCGATTTCATCTTCTGTATTAAATTAAGTGATCTTCGGTGTATATGAGGACTTAGGCTATGATATAATGGGATTTTAAACATTGTTCGGTAAGTACAGTATGCACATAACATGTGTTCCAACTTACGTACAAATCCGACTTACAAACGTCCTCAGGAACAGAACCTGTTCATAACCCGGGGTCCCCCTGTATAGGCATTTTTCCCTCAAAGTAGTGGATTAGGTTTGAGTCATGTATTAACCCTTTCACGTGCAGTAGTTTTGTTAAGACATGAAAGAAAGGTTGTAGCGTAGTGTATGTGGCCAGTTGTCTAATTTCTCTTTGTGTTTGTCTATTTTCTCTTTGTTAGGCTCACATACATGTAGGAGATCTCGCACTAAGGATGGAGGTGAGAAAGGAAACTCACAATGGCGTTTTCTTTATATATATATTAAATGTACAGAGCAGCCAGGTGCTGGGAAGTTGCTGCTTGGTAGAGGAGTTGCTGTGGAGGAGCTTCTTTAGAGGAGGTTTTCTCTGCTTAAGAGCGTGGTGTTGTCTGCCCTCACGGCGAGGCAGGAGGGTATTTCTATCTTTCTGCTGGATCAAAAATTGAAGAGCAAAAGTGAGAAACACTGCTGATTGGCTGATATGAAGGCGGCAAGTGACCAATCACCGTGCAGTTCAAACGTGAGAGCTGATTTGTGGAACTCGCCGCTGATTGGCTGGGAAGCGGACAGCAAGTGACCAATCAGCAGTTGTAGAGGAGAGTATCCACTACAAGGGACCTTTGAATAAAACAGCTGGGAATTCTTTTCGGTGACTTCTCTAAAGGGATTCCAAGCCTGTGTGCTCTGCAGCATGGGATTAAACTGAGAGGGGAAGGAGGGGGGGAAGAGGGATTATGAGGTGATATTCCCTTTTTTTTTTCATCTAAAAAACTTTGTCAAACAAATGCTGTGACTGCTGACCAATATCTGCCCACCCCCTGGTCACAGGTCATACTCCCCCACAATACTCTAGTGGTTCCTAATTACCGGTACTGTACAGTAGTTCAGACTAATGAAGTACAGGGGGCTCCCCAAATTCGCAGGGGTTAGGTTCTCAAAATGGCAGCATATCGCCAAATCCACGAATAACATTTACAGACCGGAGAGGTGGGGGACATTTTTACTTGCTTACAAAGAAATGTATATTCCCTTTATGTGTTTGCCCTTAGGACAATTATATATTTTACCTGTATTGTATATACTGTATGTGTGTGAACACACACACACACAAAGCACATACAAATAAATAATTGGAAAATCCTCTCACAAATAATCAGAAACACATTTATTAAAAATGTGACAGTCTATCTTCAAGTCCGTGCTCTATTACTAAAGTAATAAAGCACAGACTTGAGGGAAGACTGTCACATTTTTAATAAATGTGTTTCTGATTATTTGTGAGAGGATTTTCCAATTATTTATTTGTATGTGTTTTGTGTGTGTCTACACATACACACACACACACACACACATATTTACAATACAGGTAAAGGAAATTACTGTCTCTAGATCGAATGGCTCCCTGTCCCAGCCGCAAAAGTGCCAGCAACTTTAAAACTACCACAGACATTCTTCGGTACATCCAGGGTGTCATCTGCAAATAATAGAGGACCGCGAAATAAAAATCCGTGAACTTGGGGGGCCCCTGTACTGTACAGGCATCCCCACATTATGGAATGGATGCATTCTTAAAAAAATTGACCATAATGTGAAATTCTATACCAAGAAACCCATTACTGTATACAGTATACTATACACTGTACAGTATTTGAGATGCATTCCTACAGGAAATATTTTTGGCCAAAAGACTAAAAAGTCACAAATGAAAAAAAAAATCTTGAACACATGTTAATTTGAAAATTAAATACCAATAGTTTATGATCACTTATTGTACACATTATAGATGCATCAAGGTCTATTGTTTTTGTCACCTGGCTAAGTTTTTCACCTGCATCAAACATCTGTAACACATCAAGTGTGACAGTACTGTAGTAGCACATCGACTCGTACTTGATGGCCTCTTGGAAAAGAGCAATACTGTACTGTACTGTACTGTACTGTACAGCACACTGGACAGTCTCCAATACTGTATCATATTGTACCTATGTGTGCGAACGAAAAGTGTAAGGATCACACATCGCAGTCACTTGCAGATGTGAACAATACATACTCAGTACCCATGCTTGTTGGTAAGCAAAGGCATTTTATAAAATCCAAAGAAAATGACTGTATTTTAATTAATACTTGTTGTTTTACACACTTTTGTGTTAAAAATATTAAAATTAACCTCATTTACATTAGTGCAAACTTTTGTTCTATACTGAATTTAGTGGAAATGTGAGAACCTTTTCACTGATATGCTGTACTGTACGTGCTATGTTATATGGTCACATAATGGGATGAAGCCAAACTCCCTGTACTGTACAGTATATGAAATGCACAACTGTGAAAAAGGTGGCAATAAAACACACAACAGCTGCAGAGTAGCTGGTTGTGCCAGTCAGCTGACCTGGCTGCCAGTGCCTTAACCTGTAGCCCACAAATTTCATTGTAATCACTGCTAAGTTCTTAGCTACAGTATGATATTAAAAAATACCCAAGAATAACCATGTATACTATCACAAAATTCTAAAATATAAGAGGCGTATAGAATAGCAAGGGCATATGTCTGAATACCCCAGCTAAGCTCAATTTTAAGGCTGTACTGCATGTTTTCTGCCCTTGTTTCATTACTTGGGGTTGCTCCATGGCAGAAATCATTATCTGATAGAGGATTGTTGGAGAAATGGACTGACATTGAAAATGAGAAATTGAGCAATCAGGTGATATGCCTCTGCTATTCTAAATGCCCCATATACAGTAAACACAACTACACCAGCAACAGCGTTATGTGGCAAGAAGCGGTGGTGTTAGTGGGTGAAAGAATTACATTGCTCAAATTTACTCAGTTTTATCTATAGTGCCATAAAAGGATATCATGTTTACTGTAAAAAATACCTGTATCTTAACTAAAAGAGGCTGGATGTGGTGGTGCAAGGAGAAACATTGTACTGCACAGATTTGAGGTCTGGATTTAGGCCTATACTTGCATAGGCTATCCAAGATTTACACTATTGTAATGTAAGTAGGCCTAGACAACCGGAAACTGAAAATATCTGAAAACCGAGACAAAATCAGCCCCAAAGTTTTCAGATAAAGATCTTATAGCTGTAGTCACCCCTAGATGGCTCTGCATTTAAATCTGCTGCCATCAGTTGTCTCAGAGACCAGGGAGGATTCAAGTCAGGAGCCATCAACTTATGAGCTCACTAGGTTCAATTCTGAATTTAAGCCAAACCAATAATGTGTGTTACCAAAACCAGCACAGGGTGGGAAGGGTAGATAATGAGTCAAAGTATATTGTAATCAGCCATGTTGAGTCTCCCAGAATCCAACCAAGAGAGTTCTAGTTAACTTCAGTCTCTATCAAGAGGAAGAAGGGAGAGTATTCGGGTCACTTAATTCAATCCCATTCATAAAATGGAACTTCCGGGATCAATCCAGGTGACTTGTACAACTAAGCCCAGGTAGAAAAATGGAAGAGGTATAAAAACCAAGTTGCCTGATTCCAATTCATGGAAACAAAAATACTGCATTCAAAATACTATTGTTATAACACGCCCCACTAGTGAAGTTCACCACATAGCTATAGTAAATTACTACACAGTACCATACTACTATTTCAAAACTACCCTTATCACTCTCCAACGGCACACAATCCACCTGCATTAGTTGTCCAGATGTTGACGACTAAAAGCTATGGGTTACAACTAGACATCTCTTAATAGGATGGACCTCCCTCTCAAATAGGTCATGTATGATACAATATCTCTGGGGTTATTTTCCCCGGGGGATCATAATTGTATAATTTAAATCACTGCTGCAAATTCCATATGCTTCCCAATTACAATCATGGGTTAAAATTACTGACTTAATAATAGATAAGGCATGACAATGTTTATAGGCCTAAGAGAGGGGTTGACATCCATCCTCCTCTTACAAAGTGTGGAACAAATTTTTAATGTGCACCAATATCAAGGTAATGTTCGGATGTACACCACCAATAGAACCAAAAAAGCTATACCCCTTTATAATGTACAACATTCTATTTGAAGTTACTATAGATATGCAAGAAGTAGAAAAAATATTGAAAACAAAGGATAATTAACAAGCTGCACTGCTTAAGATGTTTATTTAAGAGAAAAAAAATAAAGTCACCAACACTGACAATATGCATGGCTGGAAAAATTAAGTCAAAGGCACTCAGGGAACACTGAGCCAGATGC